CCATCTGTGATCAGAGACCCCACTCATCTAGTGGTTTTCTTTGGGCAACGGAATAAGGATGCTACCACTTTTCCATGCCAAGCCAAGAGGGCAGCTGCTTTCTTGATTATGCTACCTCTCTTTGACAAGTGAGACTTGCTGGGCACATCTTGCCTTGCTAGTCATGAAGTCGTCGTTGACATACTCCTGAATGGCAATATCAGGCTAGAGAACCTCAAAGCCTCCTTCAGGTATCAGTTTCAGTAGGAGCCCAACAGCAAAGTAATCCTTTCTTGTCAAAGGGAGTGGACCTTGTAGCGGTGTCAGGTAATTGACAAGTCTAAAATGCAAGGAATACCTTTGAGTACAGGCGCCTCCCTTTGCCAAACGCTATAAGCTGCAGAATCTGTAGTCTCAGAGATGTCATTGGGGTTGTGGGGCCCCGAGAGTAAAATGGGTACCACAGCTTCCAGTGCAGCCTGTTGGTTGGAGCCCCCCTTAAGTGATGCTGATTTTCAGATTAGCTCACATAAAGAAAGAATGCTTGCCCAGCTGGTGTGGCTCAGTGGTTGTCAACCCACACACTAAGAAGTCACTGGTTCGATTCCCAGTCAGGGCACATGCCCAGTTTGTGAGCCAAATCTCCAGTGGAGGGTGTATAGGAGGCTGCCAATCGATGTTCTCTCTCATCGATGTTTCTATCTCTCTCCCTCTTCCTTCCTCTCTAAAATCAATAAAGGAAAAAAAGAATGTTCAAAGGAGGCATATACTATCTCTAGTACCCTAAATATTGTACCTCTCTCGATGTTTCTATCTCTCTCCCTCTCCCTCCCTCTCTAAAATCAATAAAGGGAAAAAAGAATGTTCAAAGGAGGCATATACTATCTCTAGTACCCTAAATATTGTACAGTGCTGGGCCTAAATTTTGGGGAGGAGGAAGTGAAGAAACAGTAGTTTTTCTTTTGCTGCTGGAGGGATTAAGTGTTGCGGATCCACCTGCATAGCCCCAAGAGACTTGACTTGGTGAGCAGGCCCCTGAATTGGTTGGAAATGTGATAATGCTGCAGTCAGAGCCTGTGAGAGTGAGACTACTGGCTTGCCAGCCAGCAGGATGTCAGCAATAGATTATAAACTTCAGACAGCATAAGACAGAACACTGTGCCTCATCCTGACACAGCTACTGATGGCAGGTGTCAGGGGAGTTTGTTCCAGTAGCTCTTTTCTACATGTGGCTCTTCCTAGTTGGTGATCCATCTCATCAGGTACTTGTGGGATGGGGAAGTGCAAATCCTGCTGTACATTCAGATGTCAGCAACAACAGTATGTAGGATCAGCCCCTCCTGCAGGGTCAGGTCAGCCTCTTCGCTGCTGTGAACCTGTCCAGACCCCATCAGTTGAGTGCAGGCGTCTCCTCTCCATGGAACCAGATGGGATGGTGACTGAAATGCCTGAATCAAATGAAGCCGTGAACAGTTGAGTCCTTTCCTTTGCTGAGTTTCCATCAGCATGCTGGGAGAGGTACATGTGGTGTCGTCTCTGTGTACCCGTGGGAACAGGGAGACCTTGGCTCCACCTCTCATCATCTTTCTCCAAGCAGGTGAAGTCAAGGTAGCAGGGAGGGAAGGGTAGAGAGGATGAAATGTGGAGGGAGAAGGTGACTGCAAGTGACGTGCACTTGATTTCAAGCTGCACAAGAGCTGCATACAGCTCCGTCAGGCAGACCTCCCGTGTCTTCAGCCCACCTGGAGCCCTGTGTCAGACAGCCCGGCCATCCTCACTGACACCCTCGACTTCAGTTTTGGGCTCCATGATTCAGCAGCCCTGTCCACATGGCTTTCCAGTTGGGGCCATGAGGTTTATGCCTTTTGTTAACTTGGACTTGACTGTGCACAGTGGTGGCTTTTTGAAAAGAGTGTACCTTTATTCTGGACATTTGCTGCCCCATTGTCATGCTTTTGTCTGGTCTAACATAAAGTTTAGAGGGGTTTTCAGCAGACCTGATCACAAGAATATATATTGTTTTGGATTCTTTTCTCATTCCCCAATGACTCATCTTCATCAGCATTGTAAACCCAATTGGACAGGACAACTCTTACTAGTTAATGCCTCATCTTAGGAGTTTGTCTCCCCAAGGGCACCAAAGCACCCTTAGGGCAGCCAGGACCCACTCCAAAAAACTCTTGAGATGTTTTATGGTCATCTCCAAATGGATCTAAGGTGGACATGACAGACTGCAGGAGGGGCTGAGCCCTGAAATGGCTCAAGTGTCACTTCCTTAACACAATATGTTGCCCCCTTATCTCCATGTGTACCAGCCGGCGTGCTAATGACTCCACTGTTTCTGTTAGCAGCTGCACATTTCTCCTGTCACACCGGCTTTAGGTGCATGTTACAGTGACTTGTCTGTAAGGGGCAGGATCTTCCATCTTTACTCCCTTATCCACTTAGAATCTTGTTGTTAGTTGTTATGGGGTGGACTGCAGATTGGCAGGGAAGTCCTCTCCCCTCCCTGACACCTCTGGAGAGTTTGCAACCAGGGCACTGTTCCAGCAGTCATCCTTGAACTTACTGCTCAGTCCTCATCCTGCAACCACTTTGCTAGTTTTTCCTCAGTAATGGGTGTTTTAGTGTCCTGGGGCTGCCATAACAACGTACTGCCAACTGCGCGGCTTCATGCAGGAGAAACGTACTGTCTCGCAGTCCTGGAGGCTAGAAGTCCTAAGTCAAAGTGTCAGCAGGGCCATGTTCACTCAAAAGCCTCTGGGGATTGAGGATCCTTCCTTGTCTCTTCTAGCTTCTGAGCCCTGGGGCTTCCGTGGCTTTTGGCAGTGTGACTCCAGTCTCTGCCTCCATCTTCCCCATCATCATATAGCTGTCTGTCTCCTCTTTGTGTGTGTGTCCAAATGTTCCTTTCCGGCCCTGGCTGGTTTGGCTTAGCGGTTGTAGCCTCAGCCTGCGGACCAGAGAGTCCCAGGTTCGGTTCCCGCCAGGGGCACGTACAAAAAAAGCTGACAAATGTTCTTTTCCTCATAAGGACATAGTTGTATTAGAGGAGAGTCCACTCTGATAACCTCACCTTAACTTGATAACATCTGCAAAGGCTTCCAAATAAGGTCACATTCACAGGTATCAGGGGGCAGGACTTCAACACATGTTCTTGGGGGAAACATTTGAACTTGGCAATAGGCATTTAGGTGGTAGGCCAGATATTGCTTAGTCGGTCACACAGTTGTTCAACATAGAGGCCAGCTCCGATGGACTTCTTCAATCCCATCAGTTACTCTGGGAGGCCTCATCCATCCTGTTTCAGAAAGCCTTATCTTTTTCAGCATCCTGTCCTTGTTGCCAAAACATGGCAAGAAATGTGAGGGATCTGAGATCTTACCCTATTTGCAAGCCAACAAGTTATTCTGCCACAGTTTTATGGATGCTGATAGAAGATACGACTTCTGGGTCAGAAAGAAAGGACTTTATTACTCTACACAGCGGGCAGTATGAGTTTTATATCTGTGTAGTTTTCTCTTCTCCCGCAAGTCCCACAGGAGTGACCCACAGTGGCTCAGGCAAATGCTGTATGTATGTTTGGTTTACATCACAGCTGAAGAATCTCTAGCTTAGGAAACCCAAATCTTTCATAGTGGCCTGTGAGCAAACCTGCCAGACCTTTGTCCCAGAGTGGGACATTCCTATATCGGACAGTAAGCAAAGCTCTCCTGTGCATCGGAGGGAGCCACTCTCTCTGCCTTCCCACACCGTTGGCTCTGCTGTTGACGTACTTGCAAAGATAGCCCAGGACCAAAGCCTGTGGTTCCTGAGACGTGTAGAATCGCAAGGGACTGATGGAGATCATCTCCCAGCAGCTATCGTCCTCTACTGAGTTTATTAAAGTGTGAGAACTCTGTATTTTCAACACAGGACCTTTGACAAAGTTTGATATATTTTCTTCTGGTCTGTGATTTGCCTTTTGTTAACTGTGTATTTCAAAGGGCACAAGTTTTTAATTTTCATGAATCCATTTTTATCTATTTTTGCTATTAAGGTTTTTCCTTTTTGTGTGCTATTTAAGAAATCTTTCACTAATTCAGTGTTACAGAGATTTTTCTCCTGCTTTCTTGTAGCAGTTTTGATTTTTACATTTAAGTCTGATCCATTTTGAACCTTTTTTTTTTTAATCCTCACCCGAGGACATTTTTGCATTTATCTTCAGATAGAGCAGGGGCAGGGGGTGGGGGGGGGGGGAGAAACGAGAGAAACATTGATGTGAGAGACACACATCGACTGGTCGCCACCCACACAACCCTAACCAGGGCCAGGGACAAACTGCAGCCGAGGTATGTGCCCATAGCGGGAACCGAACCTGGGACTCTGTGGTCCATGGGCCGACGCTCTAACGGCTGAGCCAAATAAGCCAGGGCCCATTTTGAACTTTTTTTGTTTATGATGTGAGGATATGAGGTAAGGTGTATTTTCCCATATAGACACACCAGTCGTTCAAGCACCACTGTTAAAAGATATTTTCTTCATTAAATGACCTTGGAACCTTTTTTCCAAAGCCAGTTGGCTAAGTAAATAAATACGAGTCTGTTTCTGGTGACCTTCATGTGTGACCTTTCACCAGTATTACCTCTTAGTTTACAGTAAGTCTTAAAAGCAGATGGTATAGCCCGGCAAGTGTGGCTTAGTGGTTGAGCATTAACCCATGCACCAAGAGGTCACCAGTTCCATTCCTGGTCAGGGCACATGCCCAGGTTGTGGGCCTGATCTCCAGTGGGGGCATGCAGGAGGCAGCCAGTCAGTGTTCTCTCTCATCCATATTTCTCTCTCTCTTTCCCTCTCTCTTCCTCTCTCTAAAATCAATAAAGAAAAAATAATTGAGGGGGAAAAAAGGGTGGTATAAGCCCTCCAATCTTGTTTCCTGCCTCTTCGTATACATTTTATTATAGCTTCTCAGTTTTTTTCCAAAAAGCCTACTAGGATTTTGATCTTAACGGGTTTTTAAATTCATACATTATGTATTTCAGGAACAAAGAGAACTCCGCTCCACTGGAAGAAAATACCACAGGAAAAAGCGAGGCAAAAAAAAGAAAGATAGCAGAAACTTCAAATGTCATCACTGAGTCGTTGCCATCTGTGGAATCCGAGCCTGTGGAGATTGAAGTGGAGATTGCCGAAGGCACAATCGAGGTGGAAGATGAAGGCATGGAGACATTGGAGGATGTGGCTTCTGCCAAGCAGCCCACCAAGTACATTCAGAGCACAGGTTCCTCTGATGACTCTGCCCTGGCGTTGTTGGCAGATATCACCAGCAAGTACCGTCAGGGTGACAGGAAAGGGCAGATCAAAGAAGAAGGCTGTGCACCTGACCCCATAAGCAAACAGGTAGAAGGTATTGAAATTGTGGAACTTCAGCTGTCACATGTGAAGGACTTGTTCCATTGTGAGAAATGTAACCGTTCGTTTAAATTGTTTTACCATTTTAAGGAACACATGAAATCACACTCCACTGAGAGTTTCAAGTGTGAAATATGCAATAAAAGGTATCTTCGGGAGAGCGCGTGGAAACAGCACCTCAGTTGTTACCACCTCGAAGAAGGTGGGGTCAGTAAGAAGCAAAGAACTGGGAAAAAAATTCACATATGTCAGTACTGTGAGAAACAGTTTGACCACTTTGGACATTTTAAAGAGCATCTTCGAAAACATACAGGTAATTAGCACATACCTTATGTTAAAAGTATATTTTTTCCAAATCACTTCAAGTCTAAACGTCTGAATCCTTTTTTTCATTACTACCACAGAAACCATCTCCTGTATATTCTAATGTGCAGGCTGAGTACACGTTGTTTTCTTTTTATCCTCACCTGAGGACATTTTTCCATTTTTATGTTCAGACAGAGTGGGGGGGAGGGAGAGAGAGAGAGAGAGAAACATCGACGTGAAAGGGACACATCAAGTGGCTGCCTCCCGCATGGCCCAATCAGGACCGGGGACAAACTGCAACCAGGGTACATGCCCTTGGCGGGAACCGCACCCGGTCCTCTGTGGACCGCAGGCTGACACTCTAACTGCTGAGCCAAACCGACCAGGGCTACACATTGTTTTTATAATAATAGTTTATTGAAAAATTGATGCTTTAAAAGCAATATCAGTATCTTTTGTTTTTGTTTTGTTTTTTGTTTTTTTTTTCTTTATTGATTTTTGTAGAGAGAGAGAAACATCGATGAGAGAGAACATCGATTGGCTGCCTCCTGCATGGCCCCCACTTGGGATTGGGCCCACAACCTGGGCATGTGCCCTGACCAGGAATCAAACCAGTGACCTCTTAGTGCATGGGTTGGTTACTCAATCACTGAGCCACTCATCTTTGAAAGTAATCATCACTCTTGCACCTTGCCTATTTTTATATTTAAAAAAATATGTAAAGTACAGTTTGTAATTATTTCCTAAGGGTCATAAATTATGAAATTTCAATTATAGTGAAACTTAGTATTTTTACATTTCCTATCTTAATGTTAATACATTGCATAGATTTATACATTTATAAACAGTCCTGGATGTGTTTCTGCCTTCATGTATATTTGATTATCTGTTTTGGCCTTATAGATAGGTAGTCAGTGTATGTCCATCTCCCTCCCACCTCTCCATGGACAAAGGTGTCAGGACTGGTGGTCAGCCAGGGATATGCGAAGGGTAAGGTCTTTATCCTGCAAGCCATCCCAGGCATGAAGGAGATGTCCTGGGGAGCCTGCCGTAGGGCCTCTGGCAGTTACAGCGCTGCCTCTATTCCCTGTGCCTATTTTTTCCCTGTCTGATTCCCTGTGCTCGTTCCCACTCCCTGAGCATCCTTTGCTAGATGTCCTGTGCCAGACCAGGAACTACCACCAGTGACTTGCATCTTGAGGAGTCCCTAAACCCACTGTAGCAGCTGCAGTGTGTAAAGTCCTTTTTCTGTGTGGTGGTTACAGCTGTTTAGATTGTGAATACAGAGAATTCAGGATTGCTATCCCACACTGTTCGGAATCCTTCTTTTCAATGCTGGAGTTTGAAGAACTTTGAAACTTTTTTCATGATCTTTCACTGTTCAGAGTTGCTCCCTCCATACTGCTTGAAACTGTGAAACCAGGTAGATTCAAATAATGTGGTATCCCGCAGCATTCAGATTCCTGGCCTTAATACTTAGGAACTGAATAAGTATGCAGATAGCAAGGGAATCGCAAACTTAAGTCTCAGTATGGCTTTAAGAGGCTTTTTTCTCTCTGTTTTAATAATAGTTGACATTCAGTGTTTTTTTTGTTTTTGTTTTTGGGTTTTTTTTGTTGTTGTTATTTCTCACCTGAGGATATTTTTCCATTGAGTTTTAGATATAATGGAGGGAGTGAGGGGAGCCGGGGTCGGGCGGGGGGAGAAACATTGATGTGAGACACATCAGTTGGTGTCTCCTGCACGACCCCAACCAGGGCTGAGGATTGAACCTGCAACCCAGGTATGTGCTCTTGACTGGGAATTGAACCCAGCCAGGGTGACAGTCAATATTTTATATTAGTTTCAGGTGCATAGCATAAAGGTTACACATTTATATAATTTACAAAGTGATTCCCCCCAATAAGTAATAGTACCTGCCTGACACCATATATGGTTATTACAATATTATTAACTATATTGTCAATGCTGTATTTTATAGCTCTGTGACTATTTTGTTACTACCAGTTTGTACTTCTCAATCTCTTCACCTTTTTCACCCAGTCCTGCAACCCCTCATCTGGCAGCCATCAGTTTGTTCTCTATGTGACTGTTTCTGTTTTCTTAGTTTATTTTTTGTTCTTTAGATTCCACATATGAGTGAAATCATATGGTATTTGTCTTTTCTCTGTCCGACTTACTCCATTTAGCATAATACTTTCTAGGCCTATCCATGTTGTTGCAAGTGGTTAAGATGTCATCTTCTTTATGGACAAGTAATACTCCATTGTGTATATGTACCACAGCTTTTTTATTCAATTGTCCATTCATGAGCATTTAGGTTGCTTCCATAGCTTGGCTGTTGTAAATAATGCTGGTTCCGTGTGTACTTGAAAAAATTGTATATTCTGCTTTGGGGTGAAATGCTCTAAAAATACCAATTAAACCCATCTGATCTAATGTGTCATTTAATGCTGCTGTTTCCTCATTGATTTTAGTATGAAAGATCTATCCATTGATGTCAGTGGGGTGTAAAAGCTCCCTACTGTGGCTCTCTTACTGTCGATTTCTCCCTTTATGTGCATCAAGATTTGCTTTATGTGTTCAGGTGCTCCAGTGTTGGGTGCATAAATGTTTGCAAGGGTTATATCCTCTTGTTGTTTCATTCCCTTTATCGTGTAGTGTTCTTCTTTGTCTTTTTCTCTAACCTTTGTTTTAAAGTCTTTTTTGTCTGGTACAAGTATTGCCACCCCAGCTTTTTTTGTTTCCAGGTGCGTGAAATATCTTTCCTATTCCTTTCCTTCAGTCTGTGTGTGTTTTCAGTCTGCAGTGGGTCTCGGAGACAAGCATGCACATGGGTCTTGTTTTCTTATCCATTCATTTAATCCTTTTACATTTAAAGTGATCATTGATATGTAATATGTAGTTATTGCCATTTTATTAGTCACATTTATGTTCTTCTTCTTAAAGAGATCCCTTTAATATTTCTTGTAATACTGGTTTGGTGGTGATGAACTCCTTTAGCTTTTTCTTGTACTAATTTGGGTAACTAATAAGTATTTATTAACTATTTTAGGGAAATACTTCCTTACTGTCAAATATTATAGTATATACCTTTTTTATGTTTGGAAACTGCCTATAGTTATAGGTCCTTTAAAAACAAATATTCGTCTATTTTAATGGTGTATTGAACATTTTTGTGGTACCTGGAGTTGTTTAAGCAAAAGGATTGACATACCAGAAGCACATTAAATTAGGACATAAACATTATTTGGTAACTAGCACACTTTGATAGGGATTTCCAGTACCCCAACAGATAATCACTTATATTTATTTTCTGGAAGTGTGAAGGTAAAAACAATTGTCTCATTTACCAAAAACATTACCTAGTGACTTAGCTGTTTGAAAATGAGACTGCACAGACCATTTTGGAAGTTTTAAAATGTACTTTCCAAGTGCTGCACTTTATATTTTGGATAGAACAATAGAATATGGAGCTAAGGGGCCTTGTTGAATGTCTTTGTCTTTTCTTTCAAAATGATGTGTGATAACTCAAGTAACTTAACAAATATAAGTAGTTGTTACAAATTGTACAATGAGATGCCCAGTGGAGGAAGAGTTTAGCAAGTGCAGAAGGCAAACTGAACTTTGTTGCCTTTTTAACTTCAATTACTGCACTAATAATTAGTGCAAGATAGTTGCAGATGTGATCAATGAGCTAGTGAATTCAAGAGGAGCATAAATAAGCAGTTTTAAATTGTGTTTATGTTAATAAAGGATGGATCGTTTCATATTTTGCATACTTTTGTTTGTTTAGTGATTTAGTTTCTTCAATATTCTTAAAGCATGCGTTGTATGTTATGGCTTGATTTGTAAAACTTTGGCTACTTATCCTCTGAATTATTTTGTAAAATGCCAACCTGCTAGGTCCTGGAGATAAAGACATTTTATAGTCCCTGCCTTCAAGTCACGATCTGTGTGAGGGCTGTGTGCTGATGGAGGATAGCCTAGAGTCTTGTGGGAACGCCTGCCTGGGCTCTTTGTTGATGATAGAAGAGACAAGGGTGGCTTCCTGGAGCCTGACCTATGATGACACAGGAATAGAGTTGGCCAGGAGATAAACGGTCCAGGCAAACGAAATGAAGCATTCACAGCACAGGAAAGTGAGGAAGCAGCTCGTTAGAGCACTGCTAACAGGTTGTCGTGACTCGAGGACTGGGTCCAAGTAGAAGAGATGCAGCTGTCGATGGTGCAGGACGGCTGACCACATGGCATGCACTCAGGCATCACACCGATCTACCAGTGAGGAGGGGAGGGAGGAGGAGGTGATGGGAGGTGAGGCTAAGACCATGTGGCTGTACGTGCTGTAAATGTGTTCAGATTTTATCTTGGAAGACCGGGTTGTTTTAAAGAAGTGTAAACCAGCAAGAGATCTGTTCAGATTTATGTTTTCGAGAGATGACTGGTAGGATGGGCTGGAGTGAGTGAAACCTGGGTCTAATTAGGAAGTTTTGGAGTAATCGAAACATTGAGGGGCTGAGAAAAGAGGAGTGGTAGTGGGAAGGGGCTGGAAATGTAACATCAGGTAGGCAGAGTCGACAGGATTTGGTGATGGGGGAGGTGTGTGAGGGTGACTCCAGCTTTCTGCCTTGGCTGGCTTCATGATTGGAGGGTATTCCCTTGGAAAGAAAATACAGCAGGGAAAGCACTCTGGGGAGACGTCAGCTAAACACACCTGTGGGGCGCCAGTGTGAAAGAAAACCTGAAGGAGACCTCTGCCCTTGTTATCGATTGTCCCCTGGTTCCCAGCGAGGTGGCGTGCAGTCAGAAGGAACGTGCATCCGGGAAGCAGAGTGAGATTCCTGCTCCAGTTCTGACATCGAGCACGAGGGACCTGACTGGTCACTTTACCTTGGGCCTCTCCTTGTCTGTAAATAAGGATAATGACACCTACTTTACAGGGTGGTGACAAGAGAGAATGATAAGAGCACTTTGAAGACTGTATTGTCCACACAGCTAAAACATAATCTGTTGCTATTTTTAGATTTTACTGGGCTTATTAGACTAATTTTTTAAATACGAAAGCTCAGGTGACCTGCAATATAAAGTGAACCTCTTTCCTACTTCCGCAGATCTCTCCAGAAGTAACAACTGCCATCATTTTCTTACTTATTCTTCCAGATATATTTGCATTTTCAAGTAGCCATAGAGTTAGACACACAGACCTTTTAAGAAAACAAACAGGAGCATGCAGTGCAGTGCAGTGCTGTTGCATTGATCGTGAACACTTAAATACACGAAGCACTCGTGAATCTCCTTGGTTTTCACTGGCCGCATGGCACTTCAGTGTATGAGCGCATGGTAATTACGTGGGCCAGACGCTCTAACTGCTGAGCCATACCAGCCAGGGCTAAAGCAAATAATTTTTAAGAGCTGAGTACTGGGTCCCACAGCTTCACGTCTCCTCCAGGACTGTCCTGCCAGTCATTCCCGCCTCTCTTCTCCCCTCCCACTGATTCCTTCCTTCAGCAAGCAGATAAATAACTACTCTCTTCAGCCGAAAGAGCCGCTCATTCACTTGTTCCCCTTTAGCTACTTCTCTTTACTTCCAAGTCCTCTTGAGAGAATTTTGTACCGACTTCTCATTGACTTGCCTCACTCACGGTCCTTCTTCCCACTGTGGTCTGGCTCCTAATCCCACCATACCACTCACACTGTTCTTGCCGGAGTGTTGCAGGCCCCTTGTTACCCCACCTGATAGTCTCTTCAATTGGCACTGATCACATCCTCACCTTCCTGAACTTTTTCTTTAAGTTCCCCCAGTGTCCTTTTCTGCTGCTTCTGCTTATTCGGTTTCTGTTTCCTTTGCTGCCTCATCAGCCTGCTGTTTTAGCTTGATATTTCACCGGGTTCTGTCCTGGACTTTGTTATCACATAACGTGCTAAGAGTTTCATCCACATCAAAGGTTTTTATTACCACCTAAGGTAACTGCTGATCCATGTCTCTGTCCACCTCTGTGTGGCTCCAGATTTGTCTGTACGACTGTTTACTGGACTTTCCACTTCAAACTCAATGGACACAAAACTGAAGTTACAGTTTTTCCCAGCACACCCTACTCCAAACCTGCATGGACTTCTGTACTCTTCATCCTGGTTGGTATTCTAAGCCAGAGATCTGGGAGTCTTTGCTGATACCTCCCTCTTTACTCCTCACCCGCTGTGCCTCTACCAGGAATAATCTTTCTTCTTTCTTTCCTTCTCTCATTCCATTCCAGGCAGACGTAACCCTCTCTGCTCTGCAGTGCATTTCCACTGCCCTCTTGTGTGTAACGGGCCTTCTGCAGTGCACTGCGTGTTTGTTTTCATGTCTTTCACTTTCATGAAGCACCTGACCTGTGATAGGGAATTTTTACAAACAAGGATGAGTTATTTGTCTTCATCCCACAGTTCATGGGTTGGCACACAGTAAATGCTCAAAATCGCCCGTGGAATGGTCATTGATGTGTCTCCCCAAAATAGAGAAGTGTGGAAAAGAACTTAGGTTCAAATTTCATCAAAGGAATCAACTTTTTTTTTTTTTTTTGGTACGTGCCCCCTAGCGGGAACCGAACCCAGGTCTCTCTGGTCTGCAGGCCGACGCTCCAACCGCTGAGCCATGCGGACCAGGGCAAAAGAATCAACTTTTATTTGCTTTTTATGTTTTTCTTAGTTTATCAGTTTACTTTTTTTTATTCTAACAGGTGAAAAACCTTTTGAATGTCCAAATTGTCATGAACGATTTGCTAGAAATAGCACCCTCAAATGTCACCTGACTGCGTGCCAAACTGGAGTGGGGGCAAAAAAGGGAAGAAAGAAGCTTTACGAATGTCAGGTATGTGTGGGTGCCCCTGCCCTTCGCAGAGGAGTCCGTGTGAAGTCATGAAATGTGATGGGTAGCCGAGTCTGGAGCAGAGGCACAGAACTGACAGTTTGGAAAGAAGAAATGAGAGTCAAGAACATCATCTTGATTTTATAAGGGGATTACAATAGTGTATGTGTGGGTGTGTGTGTGTTAAAATATGTTCTTATTGATTTTTTAGAGAGAGAGGAAGGGAGACAGAAACATCAATGTGAGAGAGAGAGACATTGATTGGCTGCCTCCTGCGCGCCCTCTACTGGGGATTGAGCCTGAAACACGGGCACGTGCCCTGATCTGGAATCGAACTGGGACCTCTCAGTCCATGGGAGGATGCTCAGTCCACTGAGCCACACCGGCTGGGATGTGCTTTTGTTTTTGTTTTGTTTGTTACCCTAACCCTACATGACATCAGTGTCACTAAAGTGTGTCCTAAATAGCAGGTAGTCTGAAACTGCAGTAATGGAGCAGGGAGAGGTGGACTGGCTGTGATTGAGTCTTCCACGATTGGTGTGTATTTATGCCAGATAATCTGTGTTTCTAGATTTTGTTGTTATGGGAGAAATTATAATATTGATACTTTATAGTCTTGGAATGTATGTGACATTTAAACAATGAAGGCGATATTAAAATGTTTTCCAGAATATATTTAATTTGTTAGCTACATCAGGTAAAAGACCAAATAAAAGAATTAGGAAAACTCTTGGAGCAGATTATATTACAAATATCATCCTCATAACATTTTCAGAAAAATATTTAACTCTTTCTTACAGAGAATAAGTGAATCTGTATTTTCTTTAGTGTGAATATAAGTGTGGTTAACATCATATGTTTGGTTATTTCAGGTCTGTAACAGTGTGTTTAACAGCTGGGACCAGTTCAAAGATCACTTGGTGATACACACTGGAGATAAACCTAACCATTGTACTTTATGTGACTTGTGGTTTATGCAAGGAAATGAATTAAGAAGGCATCTCAGTGATGCTCATAATATTTCTGAGCGTCTAGTAGCCGAAGAAGTTCTTTCAGTAGAAACACGTGTGCAAACTGAACCTGTGACATCCATGACTATTATAGAACAAGTTGGGAAGGTACACGTGTTACCACTGCTTCAGGTTCAGGTGGACTCAGCACAAGTGACTGTGGAGCAGGTCCACCCAGATCTGCTGCAGGACAGCCAAGTGCATGATGCGCATATGAGCGAGCTTCCGGAGCAGGTCCAAGTGAGTTATCTAGAAGTGGGTCGGATTCAGACCGAAGAAGGTACTGAAGTACATGTGGAGGAGCTGCATGTTGAACGGGTGAATCAGGTACCCCTGGAAGTCCACACTGAGCTGCTCGAAGCGGACTTGGATCAAGTTACCCCTGACATCATGAACCCGGAGGAGAGGGAGCCCCGCCAGGAAGACACTGCGGAGGGCACCAGGGACAGTCACGACGATGCTGAGGATTCGGAGACCAAGCCCACAGTGGATTCTCACACGGAAAGTGTAGGAACTGAGAACAGAACTCCGATGCCGGTTTTAGAATGAAATAACAAATGAATATATTTTTAAATTTATGTGTTTGGTTTTTGAACTGATGTTGGACAGTGTGACTGTCCTTGAGCTAACAGACAAGTGGACCAAAGTTAAACTCTTTCTTGTTGTGCTGAACTGTTTCTGTTGAAACAAACTGATTTCCCCTCCCTCTTAATGCCACAGAGGAGGGATGTTTTCCATACGCGAATGGGAGGTTTTGAGAAGTATATTTCTGGAAACTTAAATGGATTATATTCTTATATAGTTGGGTACGGATGTATCTATTTTCATTGTGGTAAGGGTTCTCCCTTCTCTTTCCCAGGTTGTGTTCTTCCTCAAGGTTTTTCATATTGTAGTCAAACATAAAATCATTAGAATACAAGTTTATGTATTCTAATGCATGCTAGAAAATTGAATATATAGGAAACACAGGCTGCATGAAGAAAAGTGCATTGTTACTGTGCGGTTAAATTTTGGCTTCTGGCTTTCTTTAGTTTGAACAATGTTCTTGTCTACCCGATAGTCACAGATGTCATCTCTGCAATGAAACCAGAGTGGTGGTGGCAAAATGTCCAGAATGTAAAAAGAAAAAAAATCCACACCCACGTGCCTTTTCAAAACCAACTAAACTTCTATAAAGCATCTCTGGTTCTTTCCAAGTCTGTGTTGTAAGGAGCGATGTAGATGATGCTATATAATACTTTATATTTTTGCTTATAATGACAACTACCAATTCTTTTTCACTTAGGTTGAGGAATTTTATTTAATGGCAGCTGAAGGGCCATTTTCAATTGGGAAAATTCATTTATATCTGTGGTAAACTTTATTTTGATGAAAAATTGCACTAGGATTTTACCACCAGATTTAAAAAAAAAAAGATGAGCATCATTTAAAAATTAATGTATTTAAAATAAAGTACAGAGGAAAACATGTATATACTATATCAGGCTTTGTTTTGAATGAATCTTTTTTCCCCGATCCTTAATGTAAAGATCTTGTGCTATAACTTTTAAAGCCATACAAATAAGAGTGCTAAACTGTGGGCTTAAAAGTAGGTGTGTAAATATTTTTAATCAGTATTACTTGGAAAATAAAATATAACAACCACATAAAAGAAACCAATATGCTATTTTCTTTACCTGTTAAATATTGGGAGATATTTACATTTTTTAAAGTAAATTTTAAAATTATGTGTTCATGACTCTTTTTTTTAATTACCAGTGTGGAAGTTGGTTTGTGGTCAGATATTTTCTCATCTGTATTAGCATGACTCAATGCACCAATATTAACGTGACTTACACATGAATTAGATGCAGAATTCTCAGTATGCACCTACCTCCACCCCTCAAAATCCAGCTCAAAAGAAAGGAAGGAGGAGACGTTGGTGTTTGCAGTTAGTAAACGGTGGGCACAAAAACTTACTTTAAAAATGACTTTCTCCTCTTAGTGTGTTAAATTTAAAAGATAACTCACCCCCCTTTGGTAATTCTGATGTTAAATGGATCATATTTATGAAGGACACTGAAGAGAATGGAGAAGTCACCGATTTAGAGATAACAGGAATAGGACATTTGTGTTTTTATTTTATTTAAAAAGTATGTGAACATTTCCAAATCTGATCTGTTTGGCAGTTGGGTACCAACTACAAAGCATATCAAATATATATACACAGACACACATATTTTTTTCTTTGAAGTCAGGAAATACTGATGAAAGAATAAAATCATGTTGAATTTTCAATTCGTCTTAGGATGTCCATATTTCTGAGTTAGTTGTAGTTTTTTTTTAGAAAAACCCTTCTTGGCCAGTTTGGTTCAGCAGTTAGAGTGTCAGTCCACAGTCCAAAGAGTCATGGGTTCAATTCCCTGTCAAGGGCATGTACCTCGGTTGCAGGTTCGATCTGGCCCTGTTGGGATAGTGCAGGAGGCAACCAATCTATGTGTCTCACATCGTTTTTCTCCCCCTCCCTTCCACTCTATCTACAAAGCAATGGAAAAAGATCCTCCGGTGAGGATTTTTTAAAAAAGATTTCTGACAGATAAAGGTCTCAAGTACACAAATTCCTAGTGAATTTTGAATGCTGAAAATAGCTCATGCTGGGCCCTTATGCCAAGGTATGAAACAAGGTTTATTTTTAAACAATCTTTCAAGAGCTCTGGCCACGAGAGGGAAATCGGAGGTAAAGGCCCAACGAAGTGTTAAAATCACTTAAATGGTAAATGTGAGGTGGTCAATATCCATCATAAGTGTATTCGGAGTTTATAGGATATCTTAAACTACCCTGTGTGTTCTGTAAACATTACTTTCTCATTCTGTCGGCATGGTAAGTAGGAAGGCAGCCTGTGAGTTCAATGTGGTTTCTTCTCACCTTTCCTGCAACCTAATACGACGTGCTTATTCAAGACATGCTTATTCAAATGAAGCAATGTGCACCTTGATACTTAATGCCAAAATAGGGTCTAAGAAACAAAAATTTTCATTGTAACATTGTAGCATTTATGAATCATTTGTTACATGTCAAGCACTTTATAATCACCTCAGTGACCTTGAGAGGTAGCTATAAATAGAACCTAAGAGGAGGAGGAGGTGAGAAACAGCCAGTGAAGAGAGGAGCCAATATTTGAAACCAGGGAGTTTTGACTCCGCGGATTACACTCCTCATCCGAAATGCAGTTACTGCCGTGTGAGATCTGTCGTTGACAGCGCTGCATTGCACAGGGCGTAGGCTGAGACACCCGCTTGCTTTCTGGAATCCACGTTAGCCCTTGATGGGGTCAGGGTGGAGGAAACAGGAGACGTGCTGGCAAGATACAGGCAGCAGATTGCGTTCGGGTGTCTCCACCACCTTGCCCTTTGCCCTGGGACGACACCATCCAGGCCGTGGTTCTCCAGCTTCAGGGGGCATCAGGATTGTTCAAACCCATGTTGCAGGGCCCCACACCCCGGGGTGCCCACATACCTTGTTCTGGTCCAGGACTGGGGAGATTGCATTGCTCACCAGTTCTCAGGTATTGCTGTCAGTCCTAGAACCACCCTCAGGAAAAACAGGCAGGGCACTTGGAAGCACAGATTTAGCCACAGTGGCATGACTCCATTTTTTGCATTTATCTCCAGATAGAGCAGAAGGGAGAGAGGAAGAGAGAGAGAGAGAGAGAGAGAGAGAAACATCGATGTGAGAGAGACACACTGGCCGCCACCCACACTACCCCAACAGGATGGGGACAAACTGCAACCAAGGTACGTGCCCTTAGTGAGAACTGAATCTGGTTCTCTCTGATCTGCAGGCTGCAGGCTGACACTCCAACCACTGAGCCAAACCGGCCAGGGCTAGTCTCTTCTATTTTATAGTGTGGCCAGGTGCTACTCTAAACGGAAAATCCGAATCATTGCCTAGGGATACTTTTGCTTCATCTGGGTGACTCATGTTTTAGACACAAAATATTAGCTATTATCTGCCAAGAAGTAAATGTCAATGCATAAATTTGCTCAAGAGAATACCTGATCAACTGCTTTGGGGTCCTGGCAGACTACCTAGATGAGAGCAGTCACTATGTCCTGTGGAATAATAGATGTAAGGGACACTGCAGAGGGAACAAGATGGGTTCAGATCCCTAGTCCAATCGAAATGGAGTTTATTAAAGACTAAGGAGTAAAAACAAACTAAGGTAATGATTCAAATTGGGTCTTTAGCCCTGGCCGATTTGGCTCAGTGGTTAGAGCGTCGGCCTGTGGAACAGAGAGACCCGGGTTCGGTTCCCGCTGAGGGCGTGTACCTCGGTTGCGGTTTGTCCCCGGCCCTGGTTGGTCATGCGAGTGGCAGCCACTCGATGTGTCCCTTTCCTGTCGATGTTTCTCTCTCTCCCTCTCTTCCTCTCCCTCCCTCCCACTCTATCTGAACAAAAAATGGAAGGAAAAAAATGGGCCTTTATAACTTTTCATAGATATAATTTTGCTTCAAAAGGATCAATGGGCCCAGAGCCTTCAGCTGTCCATTGGCTAATTATAAATGGTCACGTGCCAATTATAAGAAAATATTACACTAGCTGCTACACATGACTACATATTCAAGAAAAGTTTGTACCTGCAATAATGAGAATCTCACGAACTTATTTTATAATGAAAATTTTATGATAAAAATATCTCAAGATCACAACTTGTTTTTTTTCCCTCTATTATATTTTATTTTACCTTTAGGAAGACAGTTCAATATTGAACATTCATAACTAAATGATGAGGCAGAAAAATCTAAAGTGAATTTTAAACATTTCCTATAAAGTTAAAGAAATTTTAATAAGTACTATTTGTTGTGATTCAATTTTAAACTGCCAGTTGACCCCCTGCTGTGAAATGAGTTCCAATGGCATTTTCATACTCCCACCTCTGACTTGTGCCTTACATTTGCATTATATTTGCTGACCAATTACAGCACAAGAGAGAATCAGTGAAATGGAGGGCAGATCTGAAGAAAGTACTCAGAATGTAAAAGAAGGTAAACGGAAGATAAAAAGCCAGAATACATGAGCTATGAGGTAGGCAGATCCTGAACAGGAGAAAGAAGACCAGTTTTCCTGGGATAGGATGTGCCCCTTGAGTTGCAGATTTAACTCGGCAGCACCGTGTAGTCTTTGCTGTACCTCCTCTCCTAAGACTTGTCAAATATCCCTGCCAGAGGGAGGGAGGAGGAGGGTGGAGGTGGACAGCCCACGAATAGCCCAGGTTCGCGTTCAGTATGGATGTAGTGCCCTGGGTAACTTAGACCACAAAATGCCAGCACCGGATGGGCAAGGACCCCTCAGAATCTGCAGTAATCGTAATAATCGCTGCCGCTTATGAAGCACTTACTAGAGGAGGTTCTGGCCTTCTCTGAGCCTCGCTACTTAGAGATTGTGATGAAAAGAATACACTTGGACACATTCTCAATAGGGGTCCTCCTGCTGGCCGCCCCAAGCCCATGGACTCCAGGTTAAGAAAACCTACTTTTGTATTTGCCAAAAACTTGATCTCATCAAGTCTCACAACAATGTCCAGATTACAGATGAGGAAACTGAAAAAGATTCTTGAAACCAAAGGGTGTCACACAGCTAGTAAGTAGCAGAGCTAGGAGTCCAGGTGTAATGTTCTGACTCAAAAGCCTAAACTAACACTGTCCATGTTTCTCAAAGCAAGTGCCTCCTGCATCAGAATCACTGTGGTCATTCCTAAGCATGTGTTCGACCAGCTTCCCGCCAACAGAGGGGAGCAGGGTTTAGGTAACTAAATTGTAATGAGCTCCCCAATTACCATGAAACTACCTACCCTATCTTTACTACCCTATCACCAATACTTTTGGAAAAATAGATCTGACAGTTTCACCAATACTTTTGGGAAAATAATCTTTTTCTGACACAGACACCGGTTAGAGAAAATGCAAAAAACACTGAAAGTATTAAGATCACTGGAATCACCTGTGATTCTCCCAGCTAATGAAAAATTCTGTTGTATAACTTTTGCTTTCACATAATATGTTGAAAATATTTCCCCATACTACTCAAAACAAACATTTTAAACCTCTGTATCTATTACAATGTAATCAACCTGTTGTTAAAGGCCCTTTCTAAGAACCCTTTCTGCAAGCGTAGGGAATTGAATGGGCAGTCAGTCCTCTACCTATGGCTGGGGGTCCCAGGACTCCCAAGGGAAGAGACGACATGAAGGAAAGTTTCTGATGTGAAAAGTAGGAGGTCCAAGCAGCAAGGTTCCGAGAGAAATGGGGGTGCAGGGGGTGCTCCTGGAATGAAATTCAGCCAGTGGACTTTAGAAGTTGTCTCGAATTCCGAGTTTTTTTCCTTTTCTGTGATAATCTCCAGGAACCGTTTGAGCCCCTAGAACCTAGCACTAGCTTTAATCCGAGGTGGTCTGTGGGAGCATGATGGGAGGGCCTATTCAGCTTGGGTGTTACAGGCTCGCCATTTCTAGGCCATTTTCTTATTATATCCTATCTTGTGCATTGTCACGTTATAGAATTCAATGACTATTTTTTATTATATTGTTTTAAAAACGCAAAGTTTTGTCTGGCTGGTGTGGCTCAGTGGTTGAGCATCGACCCATGCACCAAGCAGTTGTTGGTTCGATTCCCAGTCAGGGCACATACCGAGGTTGGGGCTTGATCCCCAGTGGGGGGCATGCAGGAGGTGGCCAATTGATGTTTCTCTC